CGTCAACGTGAGTTTATACAAATCGCAAATTTGCGGTCGCTTTCGCAAAAATGCACGTAGGTGGAAGTGGTAATGCATCGATAGGTCTCTTCGTATAAGCTGTCTGGTCGGAATCCGAAGGACAGGATGAGACACATGCATTAGTCGTTCTCGTTTTTCCGACTCTGACGCGTCTAAACGACCAATAAATTCTCCCTTCCTTGTTCGCGCTGAAAGTGAGCTTAAGTGACAATAAAGAGAAGGGACAACGCACTCCTCAACCCTTTGTGAAGCGTTCTTCTCCTTTTATGAAGATAAGCTGTTTTATTTTATGATCAGACTATCGAAAAGTACAACCGATTTCAAAGGCACATCCTACGATCAACTTGGGTGGGTTTTCGCACATGAAAATGAAAACAGGGGTACGAAGTGGCCGGGCAGTAAAAAAATGAGTAAGAACTTGTCGGAAACGCAAAAAGTGACGGCTTCCTCATTTTTGTACTCATGGTAAGGCAAGTGAGGGGATGAGTACGAACGAGAGAGGAGAGGGAAACAGCACAACCAATGAGATGGTGCAGAAATCCGCATGTTGCGAATAAGAGAAATGGAAGCGTTCGAAGCGGTCTTAGGAAAGCCCAACTTCCTTGTCGCGAAATTTCGAGCCAGAAAGAGATATGCGAATTTGGTGGACAATTTTATCCTAGACACCTAAGGATCCATCCCCCCGAATTCATCACGAGGCGTGCTTTTGCGATTTTTAACAGCTTCTCGATAGAATTATGACTCCTTGAAGGTCACTGAGTCACCCATCGCCATGTTTTGCAAAGGAATGAAGTCAAAGAGACATGTCCACGGGGGGCCTTGTAGGAGCGTCTTCTATGAGAACCGGATCGGAATAATGCAAAAAATTCCCTACGTGATTGCGGTCACGACGACAGCCACTGCTTTTCCATTTTAATGCATTTACTTTGAGCGTTATCTTTTGATTCCAGCACATTACACCAGCTTATCGGTCGGCAGCACTTACAACTTCACATGGAGAATGCAGTACCCACACCAGGTAAGCTGATCATTTCAAGAACCACAGCTGAGAAAAAGTGAGAATCTGCTCCCCTGCTTCTGTGTAGTCATTGTGTTTGCTTGGCGGAGACACCAGATCGGGAGTAGGTAAAGTTTAGCCCAATATCTCCGTCTGGTTAGGCGTGTCTGTGTATATGGTAAAAGTTGCGCGGATAAGCTGCTTCCAACTTGCTCTGCTGATATCCAGCGTAGTATTTTACAGACAGCTTATCCACACGACTTCTATCAAGTGCGGCAAAGGCCACGTCAAATCTAGAGAGACACCAGGTCAGACTTTGAGATATGGAGTGTAGCTTAGATCAGTTTGGACCAACGAGCAAGATCTCTCAAGACATGCCCAGCCTTCTCAAAACGGTTTCTTGCTCCTCCCGTATGTCAAAGGTGGCAAGTTGAGTTTGGCCATGCTATCAGGCTGGGCCTGTTGCTTATAGCTAGATCAGCTGCAATAACATAGTGTGAGACTCGCCCCGGAAAAACTCGCTTTCGTGCTAGTCACCAGAACGCTCCCCCAATTTTACCCGTACAGCTCGTCTTGAAGCTTTCAAGGGACGCATAACGGGTTGTACCTAAGTGGCTGGTTCAATTTTATGAAATTACGTCAAGTAATTGTTCATGGAAACTTTGGGTCTCTATGTGGGTGAATCAATGCCCTGATCACAAATATCACAATCTTTTTGGGCGCCAGCGCCATTTAGCGCCATTTTGGCGTCACAGCACTATTCTTCCAATTGTCGGAGAAAACTCATTCCAGTGGGGTTACCTATAACCTGACCATGAATATGACGCTTATTATGGAGATAGTACTATTTGGCAAGCGCCAGTCAGAATGCAAAGAAGCATGACCTTAAAGGGCGAACCAAGCACGCCCCTGCAGCGCCAATCTCCACAGCGCCACGTAACTGTGGTGCTGACAATGCTTACGATACCATGCACTTTCTTCAGCACATAGTTCGGAGAACCGCATTTGTTGCCCAACTTGGCGTTGTTTCAAGGGTAGGATTAACGCGAGCTTCTTGGTATGACACTGTTCAACGCTGTGAACGACAAAGGCCACAATAAAGCAACAAGAATGACAGTTCCTTGGGAAATTTCCCTTCGCTCTTTCCCTGGTGTTCAGAGGGCCGCTTAGGAGAAAAGAACTACGGATCTGTGTTCCAAGCACGTACCCCTATACTGGACAAAAACCATTTCGAGAAGTACTATTTGGCAAGCGCCAGCCTGAAGGAACTGAAGCATGACCTTAAAGGGCGAACCAAGCACGCCCCTGCAGCGCCAATC